TCTACATTCCCTCCACCGGATCCATATGCGAAACCCACGAGCACAGCCGCCTCAGCGAAAGCGGGGCCGGCACCGTGAGAAACGCTAGTGAAGGCTCCCTCCTCAAAGAGAGCCTTCTGAGAGCAAAGCAAGGCAGTAACAAAACGCTCGCAGTGTGGGCAGTCGGCTCCCTCGAGAGCTGACTCTGCGTCCTTCGCTCCCAAGCAGACATCACACAAACTGTGTGTGTTCCTACCCGAATATAGCGCGGGCAGGGAGGAACACACAGCCTGAACGCTACCTGCTCTCGCCCAAAAGCTTCTCTTGACTGAAGCTTTGACATAATGGAGCTTACAAGTGGACAAACAACACTAAATAAAACTCACAAACAGATAGCGACTGACACACACACAGAGCGCTTGCTGAATGACAGAAAGCTTACACCGGTTCCACCGCACGTGCTTTTAAGCTTCCTGGTCATTACGTCACCCCGCCCGTGACGTCTCGCCCATCCATTGGACTGATTAAACATGTGATTCAGAGCGTGGTCCCGCTGAAGGCGTTCCCGTAGCGTTTTGACACAGCTCGAGTTCCTGAAGGGGAAATCTAATTTTGTGTTAATGACTGGTTGACTACAATTATCTCTTACTTTTTCCTTTGAATTCCATTTACCATGTGTTCAGTAATGCTCCAGGTGCTGTACAAGCTGAAGACAGCTAAGGTGTTTGAGAAGGCACGCTGTAAGGAGGAGAAACCCAGCACAGAGATTGTGGATGAGGACCCATTCGCCATTCAGTTGATGTCTTGGTGTCCCGAGAGCCGCATGCTTTGTGTGGCTGGTGTCTCTGCCCATGTCATCATATACAGGTTCAGCAAACAAGAAATCACCACAGAGGTTGTGCAGGTAACAATTTGTTGTTTATACTTTTTAATGTTAGAATTATTTTGTAAGAATTATGTAAGATTTTTTTTTAATTGAGGTGCTCTTGACTTAAAAAATACTTTGTTTTCTGGAGTGTAATGAGTAATGCTGCCCTTATAGACACTCTCAGTCTCTCTTATTCCCCGTCTCGAGTTATTTTAGTTTCCTGACAACTGCCATGACTCATAACATTAATAATAATATAAAATCTGTTCATTAAATGGATGTTGTTCAGTGACTTGAATGTGTTTGTGCATTTGTACGTGTATGTGCCGTCTACAGAGCCAACTAAGGATATCCGAGGAACAGTTGTTACTCAGATGCTTAACTAAATCCCTAAGCCTTTCAAAGCCGTTTTAATTAATGTTCTCCACATCTAGCTGTATATTGAGCTTGAATAATTAATACTGAATTCATTTTGCCCTCTTCCTGTTTTTTGCAAGCTGTACATTTGCGTACTGATGCTTCTGTGACCCATAAATAAATGAGCGCTTATGGTAATGCTGTTAGAAAATATATCTGTGAATAATTAGAATTTCCATATGATTTATTGTGGGAAAATATATAATGTGGTAGACTGAAGCAATTAAGCAATAGTGCTTTATTAAAGCTTAATCAACGCAACTTATTTACATATTAATACATGACTCATATAAACAGGATAATAATGAATAAAATGTTCGAATACAGTCATATTGGGGACACGTGAATTTCAGGCACAGGAATGAATCTCATTGGTTAACAGAGGCGCATGCTCAGCGCAAATGTGGGAAAACCATTAGTGTTACCATCGTCTGCTGACAGAACGTTCACACTTCTGTATAATGAGGGCAAATTAAACCTATTAGCACCTTCAGTCCCGTGACTCTCACACATAGAAACACTCACTTGGAAGAGACACGCACACCAATTAGCGTCTCATAATAAGAATAGCGACACCGATGGGGATCAATTAACTCAGTGTGTTTAGCTGATTCATACCCATCTGTTCTCAAGCACAATAGTGCCAATTACATGTGTACATGTGTGTGTGTTTTACAGTTATTGGAGGTCAGGTTACAGTATGAGCTGAATGATCTGGAGTCTCCAGAAGGAGGAGGAGATCAGACACCAGCTCCTCCCACACCAAGCACCTCCCCCAGTCCACAAACCGCCGCCCCTCAGTCACACACATCCACTAGCAGCAACTCATCAGATGGGATCCGAGACAATATACCCTGCCTCAAGTAATTCTGTATTTTAATACACATAGCAGGGAATCCAAAAGTCCGAGGCTACTCGTGTAAATGCCTCTATTTTACTTAATTTTTTTACATTTAGACATTTTTTCAATGCAAATGATATTATCGGCGGAACATTTTGATTACAAAATTTAAAAAAGGCTTATTTTTTAGTATTTTTAGTATTTGGTATGTTGCCCATTTGCTTTGACAGCAGCACTCAGCCCATATTAATTTGTGTTAAACCTGATGACCAGGTGATCCAGCATAATTTGAAAATGATCCAAAGAGCATCTTGTGTTTCACTGGATTGAAAACATCTGTCTTTACAAAGGAGTTCACATGATCAGTTTATTTGATTTGTGAGAACCCAACAGATAATATGCACCAAATTTAAGTGTCAAGTTAAAAATAGTTCAGCTTTTACAAACACTTTTCAGGACTTCTGTGTTCTGTTCCATCCAGCTGCGCCCTGTCTGGCTGTTTCCAAAGAGAGCGTTGAGAGATGTAGTTGCCACTGACTGAAAGTTAGTGTTCACAGTATTGACGCAAATTGTTGTCTGACAAATCAGACAACAAAGTTGCACTGTGAGGCCCCTTTTTGGCACATCTTTGTATAGCTGTTACTAGATTTTGCTAGTTTTTGTGATTAATCATGACACTTTCAAGTGCTTGGGTACTCATGCCCATCCTCAGTATGTAATATATGACATTATAGAGTAAATGTTGTAAAAAAAAATTTTGGCAGGGACTGTGTATAACCCATGTCCTCTCTCTGTCATTCCCTCAGGGTGCGCAGCAGTCCTCTGAAGCAGTCTCCAGGGTATCAGGTGGAGCTGGTGGTACAGCTGGTGTGGGTCAGTGGAGAACCGCCCCAGCAGATCAGCAGCTTGGCCATCAACTCCAGCTATGGCTTGTGAGTTACCTGAAGATTTGAAGACCTGTTTTACATTGTTTCGTCAGGTGGCTCAGCAAATGCTGCAGACTGTCAGAAATGTTTATGAAAGGACAATATTTGCTTTGTTCTTTTATTATATTAAAATATTTTAAAATATGAACATACATTTAAATATATATCAAGATTTTCAGTGAATAACGACAACTATGTTGGTTTGTTCCTCACACAAAATTATCGTAAGGCTTTATAAAACTTGGCATAGACAATCCTTCAAAGTTTGGGGTCTGTATTTTGTAACGTTTTTAGTCACTTTTAGGAAGTCACTAATGCTTACCATCGGTGCATTTATTTGATAAAAAATACAGTTAAACAATAATAATGTGAAATAGTATTACAATTAAAAATACCTTTAAAAAAAAAAATTTATTGCTGTAATGCTGAATTTTCAGCATCACTGTTACTCCAATCTTCAGTGTCACATAATTCTTCAGAAATCATTCTAATATGCTGATTTGGCACGCGTACCATTTTTTCTTATTATTAAAGTATTACCATACCAGTATAAACCATTCCCCCCCACAGGATTCACTTTGAAGAACAGAATTCAAAATAGAAAGTAATATAGAATAAAGTGGATAGAATAAAATGTCTTTACTGTCACTTTTGATCATTTTATGCGTCCTTTATGCGTCCTTTAATGCATCAAACTTTTGAATGTGTGTATAAATGATAAATGATTGTGTGCGTAAATTATATTAATTTGATTAAATAATCACTATACCAGCACTAAACCAGCATAAACCAAAATCCTTCTAATTTGATGACAAAAGCACTTGCTGTCTTTTATGTTTGTGTGTAACATAGGGTGGTGTTTGGCAATAGCAATGGTCTGGCAGTAGTGGATTACTTACAGAAGACTGTTCTGTTGAATCTGGGAACTGTGGAATTGTACAGCTCTAATGATCCGTATCAGAGACAACTGCGATCTCCACGCAAGAGCCGACAGCCTTCTGGAGGTCTGATATGCACACAAACATGGTTTTCATCTGTAATAGACAGAGCACATATATATGAACACAGTGAGCCTTTTAACAGCACCATTGGCAGGACATGCAGCTGTGCAGTGAGGGGATACAGCAGTGTGACCCCTGCTGGTGGATGGCACACTTGCAGCTAAACACATGCTAGTAAGGAAGAAATGATTGCTGGGACTTGGCAATGGATTGCTTGTTAGATTATCTGGTGTGTATGTGCGTGTTTGTGTCGGGGGTAATGAGTGATATTTAGCGGGGGGCTGGGATCTGTCGGATATGCGCACAGGGAGAGTGCTGATCAGAGCAGCTGGGTTCAGCTCCTGTCTGCCCATCTGCCTCTCAACTCCGAGATCAGAGCAAAGGCTACACACTGCACCTCACACTAAAGAGTATAGGCAATTGTACTGTCTAAAATACATCTTAGACTACTTTTACACAAGGTAGTGGATACTAGCACACTTTACACGTTTTCCATAGTGTGACAATCATGTTTCTCTTTCTCTCTACAGGGCTTTGTGACATTAACGAGAGCTCAGCCACCTCAGAGGATCGCTGCAAATCCCCCACCTCAGGTAAAACACCCCTCAGAGCATGACACAATCCATACCGCCTCCTGCCACCATCATACCGATCAGTCCTGACACTGGAGTCTGCTGAAACACAGATGTTATGAGCTCCACAGGGGGGCATTTTAGCATTTCAACCGTTTCCTCTGCACAGGACTAAAGGGATAGTTCACCTAAAAATGAAAATTCTGTCATTATTTACACATTGTCATGTTGTTTCAAACCTGTATTGACTATATTTCTTCTTGGAAAAGAACTACAACTGTATACTGCTGTTCAAAAGTTTGGGGTCAGTGAGAATTAATACTTTTTTTTAGCAAGGATGCATTAAATTGATCAAAAGTGACAGTTACATTGTTACAAAAGATTTCTGTTTTCAGATGACAATAACAAGAAATGTTACTTTAGCATCAAATAGGCATATTAGAATTATTCTTAAAGGGTCATGTGACATTGAAGACTGAAGTAATGGCTGCTGAAAATTCAGCTTTGCCATCTCAATAATTGCATTTTTAAATATATTAAAATAGAAAACGGTTATTTTAAATTTTAACAATATTTCACAAAATTACTGTTTTATTTTTTTGTCAAATAAATACAGCCATGCTTATGATATTTTTAAATATTAAAACTGACCCTTTAACCTTTTGAACAGTAGTGTATGTCAGGTCTTCTGAAGCCTTACAGTAGTTTTGTGTGGGGTTCAAACCAACATTGAAATTATTTACTGAAAATCTTGACATCCCTTCATGAGTTTTCATTAACCTAATTGATCCCATTCACAAAACCAGTCTGTATTATATGTTTACACACTAGACTGATCTGAAAAACAACATGAGGGTGAGTACATAATGATTTTTGAGTGATTCCTTTAAGATTCATTACTAATTAATCCATATTACACCAAAAATCAAGTATACACGTGTGTGGATTTATTTTGTTATTCTCTCAGTATTAAACAAGCCCTTTGCTGGAAATCATTGGCAGTGTTAACAAGGCGCACCCTATGTAACATCCTAAAACTTTGTGCATGTGTCTGTGGAGGAGAACAAAAGTTCACAAAGGTTACAGATGACTGATGATGGCTGGCAGTGTGATGAATGGTAATGCTGACTGACATTGTGACAAGTTGCTGGCGCCTGATGGGAGAGTAGCGGTTAAACATCTGGGCTAGAAGCAAGTCATAGGTTCAAACCCCTGAAGGGGTGATTCATGACCTGAGGAGCAGCACCATTGTGCCCTTCAGCAAAACTGTCTGTTTCAAAGCGTTTGCTAAAGTAAACATCCACAGCAATCATAAAGACCACACTGGATGAATTGTTAGGAAGTGGTTTCTGAAATTATATGTGCAAAAGAGTCGAAAATGTAGCAACTGCTTAGACTCTGAGCTAGACACAGCTGTTTTTGTGGGCGGAAAGGACACATTAAATCTAAATTTATTAGACAACCAAAGCTTATAAATGCACTGTAAAACACAGCACTCTTAGTTGAGAGTGCTTTTAGACTGTGGTTAATGAGGTATTGATTGCTTTCAGATACTGTCACTGAATTGTGTAACCAAATATTTAATCGAAGATGTGTCACATAGAGGTTTTACTTTTATGTTTTAGATTCATGTTATGCAAATAACACTTTCCCAAGGATGAAAAAACTCCTAGAAAGAGCGTGACATTCACACTCGGAGACCGGGGCAGATCTCAAAATAGAGATAAGATTTGCTCCGAAAGGTCAGAGCAGAATGAGAATGTATTTCCAAAATGACTTAACCTTCAGTTAGAGCACAGACCTCTGCAGCTGTTCTCTCAGCAAGTGGTTTGATCAAATATTGAAAGAAGGTCTCTGTAATTATTGTGCAAATAGCAGCCTACACTTGCTGTAACACCTCGACATGGGCAGATACAGAACAAATGATTGCAACTGCCACAGAAAGCCAAACCAAACGCATAACAAACAAAACAACCCGGGTCGATAAATCATTTTCACGTTATGGCTCTCCTGCGCTGTATGTTGCTCCCAAAAAGCGTAAAATATCTCTAACTGCTCATATGCTTTACTTCCTCCCAAAAAGTCTTGATGTCAAACCATCAGCAATTCTACAATGGAGGAGGGAGAGGAGGTAAGGTTGGATGACGGTGTAGAAGAGGTTCCACTGGTTTTGTTCGGCCACACTGTCTCTGTCTCTATGTATGAACAAAACAGAGGAAGCAGCTGTCCTCAGAAATAGTTACTTGAATAACCCTGATGGAAATTCCCACTGCATGCTACGTTCATGTAGCACGCATGTAACATGGTGAAATGTGCTTGTGGTGATTTGCTTGAGGCGTTTCTCTTTTGCCACACCGGTGGCTGCGTGACTGCGTCCTATAATTGTCTGTCTGTAGGAATGAAGGTTTTCGGTTTGTTGTCTTCCTGTACTTCCTGTCTCTTTATGTCCGTACATCTCCGCACAGGATTTTGAACAATACACATTTATTTAGATGGATTGCAACCAGCAGTTGAATTCACTTATATATGCTTTTGTGGAGTACTATTACGAAACAAAACATATAGTTTTGGGTAATTGACCATTTAGTTTTCTTTAGTTGTTCTTATATAGACAAGCTGTGAAGGCTGTTTTTGTTTTGTTGCTTTCTTAATGATTTTTTTAATGACTGCTGAGCTCATTACACTGCAAAAAACAAAACAAAAAAAAACACTTTAAATCATTATTTTGTCTACTTAAAATATCTTAACCTCTTTAAAAGGAAATAAATGCATTTATTTGAGAAGCAAAACTGTCTAAGATGTTAAGACTTATTTTAAGAGTATATCAAACAAAAATAATAAAATCGATATAGTGCTATCATTGAATATACCATTTAGTTTAATTAACATTCAGTTAATCAATGAACATAAACATTGTAAAAAAAAATAAATCAAATAAAAATACATCTAAAACTGTAATGAATATAGTATTAAAATAAAAACAAAATGATCTTATTCAATTTTGTTTCTCAAGTAAATTTATCTTGTTTTAAGAATGTTTAGATATTTTTGCTGATAAAACAAGGTCACATGTTCATCTGCCAGCTATTTATTTATTTATGAAAGATAATAGATAAGTCAACATATGCCTATGCGGCAAGGGTATATACATTATACTAAATGTTCAAACTCATCCATATAAGCCATAATGTCTCATTTGTATTCTCCTGTGTGGTGCATGCTTGTGGCATGGGGTGCTGAGAATGATTGTTTTCTCTGTTCTGATGTTAATTCTTTTCCTTTCAGGGCTTTGTGTGGCCAAATTACACCCATTTACATCCCAGTACTGTTTGTCCAGCATGCAGCATTATGCAGTTTGTCTCTGACTCGCTGAAAAATATTGCAGTGTCTCCTTTGTGCTGTTTGAAGCATTTGTGTCCCTCAGGATGATTAAAAAATCCCTTTAGCTATGTTGTCTTGGTGTTTTCTCCAGCACAACTAGTTCAAGCATTGCATGGCTTTTACTGAGGCTTCAATGTGTTTGTAAAGAGAGGTGTTCTCTTTTTTCCAGCTAAGATGTCACGGAAATTAAGCTTGCCTACTGAGCTAAAGCCAGACTTGGGTAAGCCTTGACTTTGTGTTCATGCTACACAGCTTTTGAATGTGGAGTCCATCAGCACATTATCAGAAACTGGAGGGTCCACATGCTCATTAGCTTTGAACATCTCATGTCAGTTAGCCCAAGACTATGGTGGCTTTCAGAGTTTATACTGAGTTTCTGAGATTGAAACATGAGTTATGAAATACAGTTTATCAGAAAAGGTCCATCTGAAGCTGATTTTCTTTTGTATTGATTCGTGGGTCTGACATACATGGGTCATGACTGTATTGGTTTATCAAAAGGCTTGTGAGTGTTTCCATAAATGGTACATGTAAGCATGGCCAAAACCACTGCATCACTTTCATGTAGTCATGGTCCTCTGTCAGTCTTCCTAACTCTTATCCTGAATAACACAAGTCAGCATTTGCCAGTTCAGCATTTGCTGGTATTTAATTCAGTATCAGATTCAGTTCGGTCATAACTTTCCAGCAGGAGTGTTTTTAAGGGAGTTCCCTCAAGGAGTACTTTTCTGGAATTGCACTGATTTGAAATGGAAATCAGATGAGTAGTTTGATGTAAAGATCATTTCCCCCTCACATATCATTGCCATATATTAACTTCTACAGGATATCAGTTAATTGTTTTGAATAAGGAAACTTTAAATGTATACAATTGTTCAAATGTTTGGGATCATTAATTTATTTTCTTTTTAATTTTTTTTCATCAAGGATGCATTTAATTGATCAAAAATTACATTTATAATGATAGTTTTCACAAAAATATTAAGCAGCACAACTTTCTTCAGCATTGATAATATTAAGAAATATAACCATAATTGGGGTCCAAGCACAACATGGTTTGTGTAGACGATACAATTATACAATGACCATGTCTCTTTTAAAATGTAATTATCCTTAAGGGCCTCTTTATGGACGTTTTATTCTATGTACGTGGACGATTGTAATATCAAAAGTGAAAGCAGCGTGTGGGTGTGATTTAGAGATAATGAAGCCAGACGGGAAAGACTGGACATCACGTTGGTTTCATATGGATTACTTTATCACAGAATATTTGTTTTTGAGAAGACTTGTGTCGTTTAAAAGTAGACATGTCAAGCTTTCTATAGATATATCTCTCATGTCTTTGTGTCGAGTATTCGCTGAGTTTCAGTTCATTTTAGTGACACATTTCTAAATGAAGATCACGGAGACAAAGGCGGCAGACAGCGCACCCTGTATGTTTTCTTTATTTTACAAAAGCACAAAGTTTTGTTGTTATTATGTGTGTATACAAATAAAAGTAGACACTTTACAGATTCGATTGATGTATTGCTCTTATCTGTACGATCAAAACTGACGGAGTAATTTAAGTTCCTTTAGGGGCTTTCAAAAGAAATGCAATGAAACCCGCCGGCACGTTTGTCGACCCCAGAGGGTTAAAACAGGCAAATTCAAAATTGGACAGCAACTCATTGAAGACTGGCATAATAGCTGCTGAAAATTCAGCTTTGCCTTCACAGAAATAAATTAAATTTAAAATTATTAAAATAGAAAACATATATTTTAAATTGTAACAGTATTTCACAATAGAACTGATTTTGCAATATTTTTGATCAAATCAATGGAGCCTTGTGTAATGTGGTGTTTGGGTTTTGTCTTGTTCATGTTTCCATGTCTTTTATTTTGTAATTGTTTTATGCTGTTTGTGTCATACTTCCCTTGCCCTCATGTATCTCAGCCTTGTGTATGTGTCATGTTCTGATTGGTTGTTTTAGTCATGTGTCTTGTTTCCCATTGGTTTGTTCTTGTCATGTGACCCTCTTGTTTCCTATAAGTAGCCATCATGTTGCCATTGTCTGTCGTCGTGTATTGAATGTATTTATCCCGCTGTTGGTGAGTCTAGTCTGTTCATGTCAAGTCAAGTCAAGTCTGTTCATGTCAAGTCAAGTCAAGTCTCGGATTATTGTTTGGATGTTTGGATCACACTGTAAATAAACTGCACTTGGGTTCTTCACTACGCTTGCCTTCAGTAGACTGATTCGTTACACCTTGTTGAGCTTAAGACACTTTTTTCACCCAAAACATTAGAAAATCTGGAAATTTTGAACAGTAGTGTAGGTTTTAAATGAGGAAGATATTATGTCGTAAAAATGGAAACTAAAAATTTTTATTTAATTCCATTATTTTTATTTATTTGTTTGTTTTTAATTTCTAGACTGTACGCATCTTGGATAGGATGACCTATCGGATGAGGAGTTTTTCCCAGAATAGTCCGATTTTCAGACCCCTTTAACATGTCCAGATGCAGATTTATTTTAGAAGATGGTCTAGTAGGGCCAATTTTCAAATAAATGAGGTCGGGTAAAAAGGTCTAAAATATGTAAGTGTTCCAGGAAAATAGGGCATCTGGTCATCCCAATCTTGGGAATACCATTTATCTCCATCACACTGGAGAGACTGCCTCATTTCCCACATCAAAGGTCATTTTCTCACCACTGAAGGATATTGTGTATTTTAACTTGTGCATAAACCACAATCACAAAGGCAGAACATTTATTTAGATCTTAATTCTGCTCAAGACGAAGAGGCTGATATGGAAAAAGTAATCTGTCAATCTGTTGGTTGTCATCTCAGAGTGGGGGCTTTACCTTTTTGTGTTTTTCTCTCTACTGTCCTACTCTCTGTATGTCCCCCGCGGGGTTCCATACCCCTAGACAACAGGGACAACTCCTTCAGCCGCTCACGGAGCTCCAGTGTGACCAGTATTGACAAGGAAGCACGAGAGGCCGTCACATCTTTCTATTTCTGTGAGACGTACAACCGTAAAGTAGATGGCGGACTTACACCTAGTCTGTGGGTTGGCACGTCCTTGGGCACAGTCTTGGCAATCTCCCTCAACATGCCCCCTGCTGGAGAGCAAAGGCTTCTGCAACCAGTCATTGTCTCCCCTTGTGGTAAGTTAGCACATTAGAGGTTTAAAGGAATAGTTCACCCATAAATGAAAAATTACTGAAAATGTACTCAGCTTGAGCAAAATGTGTAGATGAGTTTGTTTCTTCATCGAAACAGGTTTGGAGAAATTTAGCATTACATCACTTGCTCACCAATGGATGCTCTGCAGTGAATGGGTGCCGTCAGAATGAGATTCCAAACAGCTGATAAAAACCTCACAATAATCTACAAGTAATCACACAACTCCAGTCCATCAATTAACGTCTTGTAAAGCAAAAAGCTGTGTGTTTGTAATAAATTAACCGTCACTTCTGGCCAAAATTCAAGTCCATAATTCTAAAATAATGTTAAAAAAAAGTCCATCCTCTGTTGTCTTCTCACATTAAAATCAATTGACTTATTTGTGTACAACTGTTTTCACTTCTTGATCTGTGGATATTTCTCTCCTGATTCAGATGAGATGACCTTTTCTCTGGAGGAAGCGTTATGGTTTATGGACTCATATTTTGGCCGGAAGCAAAGGTTTAAAGTGAAAGCACTTTAATTATGGACTTGTGGATTATTGTGATGGTTTTATCATCTGTTTGAACTCTCATTCTTACGGCACCCATTCACTGCAGAGGATTCATTGGTGAGAAAGTGATGTAATGCTAAATTTCTCTAAATCTGTTCTGATGAAGTAACAAAGTCATCTACATCTTGGATGAAATTTTATTTTTTGGATCAACTATTCCTTTAATTTGAAGGTTGGTTTGTTTGACTCTGACATCTCAACCCTCTCTGTACAGGTACTCTTGTCAGGTTGAAGGGAAGCATTCTCCGGATGGCTTTCCTAGATTCTACAGGGTCTCTCCTCCCTTCTGCTTTTGAGCCATGGTACGAACCCAATGCCCCGGCCAACGGAGAGGAGCGGGACAAGGTCCGTAAGAGACGGCCGGTGTCTGTCTCCCCATCCACATCCCAGGAACTGAATGAAAACCAATATGCTGTGCTGTGCTCTGAGAAACAGGCCAAAGTCATAGCCCTGCCCTCTCAGACCTGCGTATTTAAACACAACATCACCGAAACATCTTTTGTGCTGCGGGCAGATGTGGTTCAGATAAACACTGGCATTTGTGTAGCCTGCTTCTGTGCCAATGGACACATCATGACCCTCAGGTGAGAGAAGATGCCCTTAACATAAGCCAGATGAGGGTTGATTTAAGTGCTTTCATTTGGGACTGTGTTGGGATGTGTAAATGCATAAAAATCTATGACACTTTTAACACTTAGATAAAACTTTAGCAAGCAGCATGATTAAGCATGTGAAACTTTTTCACCTTATATTAAAAAATATCCTACATACACTACCTTTCAAGAGTTTGGGGCTGGTATTATTTTTTATGTTTTTGAAAGATGTCACTTAATGCTCAACCAGGCTGCATTTTTTTTAGTTACAGTAAAATCAGTAGTTTTAAAATATTATTACAATTTAAAATAACTTTTCTATTCTAATATATTTTAAAATGTAATTGTGTCTAGTGATGGCAAAGCTGAATTTTCAGGAGCCATTACTCGAGCCTTCAGTGTCACATGATCCTTCAGAAGTCATTCTAATATGCTGATTTGGGGCTCAGGGCATTTCTTATAATTATCAGTGTTGAAAACTGTTGAATATTTTTGTGGAAACTAGCATTAGAAATCTTATGTATGAATAAAAATGTTTTTACTACCTTTTTTGATTAATGCATCCGTGCTGAACAAAACTTAGGGCCAGTTTTACTAAACAGGGCAAATTAGCACGAGAGCACAATTCCAAAACAGCGCCGATGGGAGGAGAAATTTCTGCGGGTGATTTACTAACAATGGCCAAATTAAAGAACACATACGCAACATCTTATTTACATATCAACCAACACAATATACCAAGTGCAGCACAAATTAACGTAGTCGAGAATAAAGAAATAAAGAAGCCACAGTACGTTGAAAAGAACCGGAGGCCAAAAATGAAGGTTTGCTATACGTTTTGATAGACCTGGTATTGCGCGACTCCTAGTTGAGGGTTCCAAGTCATCTTTTATTTCCTGAAGCAAATTAAAAATATCATGGCTTCAGCACAAATTAACGTAGTCGAAAATAAAGAATAAAGAAATAAAGAAGCCACAGTACGTTGAAAAGAACCGGAGGCCAAAAATGAAGGTTTGCTATACGTTTTGATAGACCTGGTATTGCGCGACTCCTAGTTGAGGGTTCCAAGTCATCTTTTATTTCCTGAAGCAAATTAAAAATATCATGGCTTGGCAAAAGATATGTTCAGATAATGTGTTCTTCTGGCATTCAAAATAAATTATACGTGTGGATAAAATCCTCTCCCTTCTACCATGCGCTCTCTGTTTTCTGCGGTGCCTCCTCCTAGCAACAATAATTGCAGCCATTTCAAGCGCAAAATAGTTTAACACATGCTTTTTTTGGCCGTTAAATAATGGCGCAAATGCCAGTAATTTGACGAGCGCAAACGTTAGTAAAGCGCGTTGCGTGATTCATTTGAATACTCTCCTCCCATAACTTTTGCCTCTGAAAGGGAAACTCCTAAAATGCATATTCAATAAGGTCAGGCGTGTCCACGCCTTTTCAGCGCTAATTC